AAAAAAAAAAAAAAAATTCTATGATGTATCGTTATATCGAGATTTCATTATAGAAATGCGTTTGAATTGAAAAATCGTGCGACAAACCATGCTAACAACGATTAAAGCTCTAATTACGAGCGAAGAGGTTAAAGAGCTCCCTTTTGCAAACAATGTCAGCTGACCTGTGCAACTAGACGCGAGTGTATAGTTTCGTTAGCGTTGCAAATGATTCCGCGCGAGTGTCTCGAGATATTGAAGTTTGTTTTCGTTCGTTTGCTGTGCTCGCGGCTTTCCATTTTAATTTGTAAATGGGTAGAGGAGAAAGCACCATCCAGGCCGATACAATTGGAGTTTACGGATAGGCGGGGGCGACCTAACCTCTTTCAAGATCGTTTCCATTTTCCATCTGATCGAGTTGGCTGGTATTACGCGAAATTTTGATGAAGGTAATCTTTAATCTTCGATTTACAATATAACATAACATTTTCGTTTGTCAATTTTAATTTTTCGATATAGAAGAATTTTTTGAAAAAAAAAAAAAGAAATAAACACTTTCTTTGCTATTATTGACAGTAAATCGTACGATTGTAGATATTACGATGGATATTTCGATTTCGTCTTGAAAAAAATACTTTCTTGTTATCGAAAATCGTGAATCATAAATTGTAGATATTACATTCATCTCGATATTCATCTCGAAGAAAAAAAATCTTTAATACTTCAAAAAAAATATTGACAATACGAGAACAGTATAAGATTGTGAATAGAGAATGTGTATTATGATGAATACTTTCATCTTGTCTCGACATAGAAAAAGATCTGTAACATTTGAAAAAGGATTTTCTCGTATTGCAAGTAGAGAATTGTATATAAGAAAAGAGGATAAACGTTATGAAGAAAATATGATACTTTTAATTCCGTTCGATATACCTGACCACCAATTATTTTAGCCAACTTGTATGGAATTTATCGAAGCAATTTGTCAATAGATAAGTGAAGTTGAGCATCAGTGTGTCATTGACAGAAATTAATGTCGAATTGTTAAATACTCGTTTCCCTGTGTAAAATTTATCTCATTTCTGATTCGTTCAATATTGGTTAGAGAAAAAGTTTCATCATCCAGAAATTTTAACCGGAAAATTATTTATTTTCTTATAAGTTAATCGATCTTTGTTGAGAGATTAAATATTTGTTTCGCGTTTTTTCCAAGTTTTTTTTTCGATTATTTTATTACACCGAGTCTGATAATAAGTGTTATGACGATGATAATATTATTTTATAATCGTTGAATTGTTTTATATTTACTTTATCGAAACAGGGTTGTGTCATTCACCTTAAACCACTTCGAGATTAATGTTTTGCGTGTTGCATCATTATTCAGATCGTAGCACTTTTCATCTTGCTCATCTTTTGTAACACGTAACGCGACAAAAAGGCGAAAAAGGAAATATGAAACATCATTGTATCTTCTTTCTCTAAGGAACTTCTGTTAGTGTATTATATACGTGACTTGGCTTTGGATTTGTGTTCCAAACCATTGTGCATCTTTTAATGCTTTATCCTATTACAAGATAGGAAATTTTTACAATGTCTCGAGATAATGGATTTTCAGATTTTCATTTTAAAAACGAAAAAACAAAACGAAATGGAAACTTTTGCTTTTAAAAAAAATTCAATCGATTGATCTTATCGTTAAATTTTAATCGTAACGATACAATTATACGCGATGCATTATTTACAAAAGATTTCGATTTCATTCAAGATTTAAAAATCCGAATAAAAGATGTATAACTATAGAAATAAAAAGAATCTTTAGAAATACCATGTTCTTTTATATTCGAGTTCACTTTGAAGGAGTAAAGTCAGTCTTTCAAGATTGAGATACAGTTCGCTTTTATTTCGATCTTCAACACAAAAGATTCAACATGCGTTCATATAAAAAAAAAAAGAAAAAAAATGAAATTAGAAGAAAACTTGTTCATTGAACAAAAGCAATAAATTATTAATCTACTAGAGAAAGATATTTTTTACTCGATTTTCAAACTAAATATAAAATTATATCGATATAAAAGCTACGTTATAACGATAATTTGTAACGTATCAATAAGCAAAATATTTCACCGTGATCTATTATGATATATTTTGATATCATAATAGACGATATCTTGTAACGCAATGTCTTTCATACGAAATATCTTACAATGCAAAATCATTGGTGCAAAGCTGTGTAATATCTCGCAACGCAATATAATTCACGTGCTGCCGTTTTGAACGAGATATCTCGGTTCCCCCTTTTTCGGTATTTGAATTCAGTTACTCATCGTTTTTGACGATGATATTTTCAGATATATTTCACGAGTCTTGACATTGTTACCGATTTAATAAAAATCGCATTAAGAAAGATGTAATCTTTTTCGATTGCCTTCTTTCAATAGTGACTAATATTCGATACGCCATATTCTGTACTGTTAGCATGCTTTCTCATGAGCGTGACTTATGATTTTATTGCTGCCAACTCGATTGTTGATGATGACAATTTGAGGATGACAAGACGGACGAGAAAACAAGAACGGTCATTTTTCCTTATCCTTTGTTTTTAGAACCAATCTTCTTTCAACCATTTCTTTAAACCGAACTTTGATCAATTTAATATTGAGTAACTTAGTTCCCTAATTTGCACGAATTTCTCGTGAAAATCTTACGCCGAAGAAAAAATCAATAATCGTCGACATCCATTAACGACAAACGAAATTCAGGAAACAATTCTTATATTTCTCACTCTGATCGAGTCGTTAATCTCGTCTATCGAAAGGTAAGAGTTTCATTTAAAGATGACTCTTTTCCATTATCATTTAAAGACTTCCAACTATAATAATCAGGCAAACTGTACAGAAGATTACGAATTGTACTCCTCCACCAACCGAGACCTGGTTAATTGCACGGAACGTTTTAATTTCGTTTGGTGAAAAGAGGCTAGGAATAAATTATTCGTTGGCCGGAAGAGGCCTCTCGTGACCGCGACGTTCGTTATTCTCATCGATATTTCCTTCTTTCTTTTTTTTTTTCCTCTTACAACGGAACTTTTATCCAAACAACTCTTCAGGGTATCGTGTTAGTTTGCTTTACTCGAGTTACGAAAGCAATCATCTAGGGAAGACTCGATTGACACCGTGAATTCCATTGCTTCCTCTTTGAAACGAATTCACCGCGAAAATTAACCGCGGAATCGCCACGACACCGTTCTCGTATAATCGAAATATAACAACGACACGAGGGTCAAATATGTCGTTATATGTAAATACGAAAATAATGAATTTGACGGAGGATAATTCAATCAATCTTCCATCAACTTATGCGGCACGTTTGCATTATGCGTTTGCATTATTATTCACGTTTTCGAATCGCGCGAATAGGATTTAAATTGCAAATTATTATTAAAAGTTTATTTAACGTTTAATTGTATCGATTAAATTATCGTAAATAAAGGAAATATCGGATATTGCCACGAGAATCGCATTGTTAATAATTAATTTTCAATCGGTTTCCCCATTGTTCGTATTTATCAAAGCGTTTCATCGGTATAAGCGGAAAAGAGTAATCGTCTCTATTGAGAATCGTGGACATTAAGAATGGTCCCCGCAGCATCCGGTTGATTGGATAGCTCCGTATCGAAGAGCGTTCATTACGAAACGACTCTGGGCTTCAATCTATATGCAAAATTGCTATTCACCGTTGAAGAAGAACGAACGATCTGTGTTGGTAATCGTCACTTTAAAGTCGAGAATGGCTAATGTGTCGAGAAACGAAGAGATCATTCGTTTCTAAACGAATAAATCTATATTTGGACTTTTAATGGGATACCTGTGTAACGAAATGATACGGAATTTTTAATTGAAAACGTTAAGGGATAAATTTCCCTTTTACGTGTTGCACTCGATGTTAATTAAATTTTAATTCTATTAATGTAAGGCTTTTAACAGATTTTCATTCGTAATAAAATAGGAATATTATTTCCTAAGTGCGTTAAAACGCTTTCCTTCTCCAGTTTTTAATTTAATTTTAATACGCTAATAATGCTCGTGTCGTTGAAATTCATTTATCGATTAGAAAATATGATATGAGTTTACGCGTGTCTGGTACGTAAAAAGAAATCATAATAATTGTCTTGTAAAGTTTTACAATCTCTATCGGTTTTAAAAACGGTGTTAAAGCGTGAGTAACGCCAACGTACCGACCATTTATTAACTTCGACTTTTATACCATGATACATCGTCCCAATGTTCTCGATCGCACGCGAAATATCTCTCTGTTGATTTACGTAGCAGCAACATTCGAGAAATTTCTTGCACGAGCAGCTCCAACTTTTCGAATGGAAAACCACGAAATATCTCAGACATACCCTCATCGATCGTCCATTCGTTCCACTTAATTTCTCTACTCCTTTTCAATTTCACGTTATCTATATATCTTATACTTCTAAATCGAATTTGTTAAAGAATATATATATATTTACATATTTTCCTATCCTAATATTTTTACATTTTATTCTTACGCTCTACTGTTTTAAATACTCTTATATACCTGTAACAGCACTGCTGGTGGCATCACGGCCAAACCAACCAGCAAATCCGCAGCGGCCAAGCTGGACACGAAACAATTAGTAACGGACCGTAGACGCCTAGTTGTTATCACAGCGGCAATTACCAAAGTGTTGCCCACCTGTCATACAAGTAGAAAAAAATACGTGAAATTTGCGCTCGATCTTCTGTGTCGAGAGAAAGGAAAATACAAACGCGTCAATCTAATCACGCATCTAATCTTGGCAATTTACTTTGATTATATTCCGTGGAATTCTCAAGTATTCCATCATTTACTCAACTGTTGTTTGCAAATTTTTTTTTCGATACGAAGCTGAATAATTCGAATAGAACGACGATGAATAACTCGATACGGAATAATAATAAAAGAAAGAATTATCAAGCGGGATGAGAAAAGGATTTATTCCGATAATTAATCTCGGATAAATATTCATCGGTTGTTAACGATTCGAGTTAACAATTCGATCGATTGTGCCCGTAGAATATCGCGTGACAATTCCTGACAACTTTCTCCCGATTTCACAAACGAGGCATCGAAATGGTATCACAGCGACATCAACCGGACAAAGCCTCTCCCCCTCCTGTAGAGTACAGCTCGCTTAATTGTTGCTTACTATAGTGACGATGATCAACATGGTGAACAGCCCCGCCAAAACGAGATCCGTCCAATTCGGTAGATAATATTCCGTCCGCGTATCTCGCTCGTCCGACGACACCGTGTGATTCCATTGATAAACGTCCCCATAGTAATTGGCCGTTTGATTCGCCATGGCGCTTTACCCCCGCTCCATTGACGATGACTTCCGCTCAGCGATTTCCGCATTTCCGTCCATCGTGCGCTCTCCTGGAAGACGAAGATATTTTTTTTTTTCTTTTCTTTTCTTTTTTCCTTTATCTTCGATGAAAGGATCGTATCGATTTTTCGTTCGATCGACGATTTCGAGGGATCGTGAAAGAGAGGGGAGAGGGAGGGAAGTCTTCGATCTCGTATTGTCGATTCTGTCTCGATTGCCGCGAAAGTGTATTCGTTTTCTTGCCGAAAGAGCAAGATTATGGGCGGATGAAAAGAACAATGGGTTTTGGAGGAAGCTTCTGAATGGGTGTACTTTCAGACGTTTTTACTTTTTTTGTATCGGGGATATAGAAGAAAGGGATATATATATATTGCGAGAAATAAATCGTAAGTGTAAAGGGAATATCTGGTGACTTTTTCTTCTAAAAAAGAGATTTCTCCGTGTAATAAACTGGTATAATGATATAATTAAATAAAGTAACTGTGATAAAAATCATAGAAACGATAAAATTTGATCATAATTTAATGAAAAATTTTTTATATTAAATTTAATAGTTACTATTATAATCGATGAAATTCCTGAATATATGAAGAGAAAAAGAATCCATCCATTCCAAAATCGATCGATGGTGATGAATGATATCAGTAAGAAGATAATGGTGGATATACAGTTCCTGTATTACTATAAAATAGAATAGATTTCTTAATAATAATAATAATTAGTTGGGAATAATAATCAAAATTTAATATTATTTATTCGTGGGAATGCTGGAAATCCAAATATTAATGGAATTGATCAATTTCCAAAATCCACCAATTAAAAATAATATAACTATAAAAAAAATTATTAAAAATACACGAAGAAAAATCTCTTTGCACTCTCATCCCCAATCGAGTGGAAACAAATTATTCCTTTCCTTCGATTCCTCGTGTCATTAACCTCTTTCATCCATTTGTGTTTAATTCGTAAAATTCGTATAATTTTTGAAATTAATTAATATATTCATATTCATATTCGTAACGAGATCACGTGATCGAGGAACTTTTACGAAAATCATGATACGTTTATGAAACCAAGTGAAACTCATCTGTGAGTTAATATCTCGACCGTTTCGTTCGAGGCCACTTTGTGATGTATATCACAAACCATTTGGAATTACAATCGGTATCGAACGAATAAAAGAATCGTATTACTTTTATCATATCCTTGACGTGAAAGTAACGTTTGCTAAATTGTATCAAAATCGCGGCAACAGTTCTCGAGATGTTCAGAGACGGTATACGGGATTGGATTATATTTTTCAAGAAAATCTCGAGTAGAATCATCCGTTTGAAACGAAGAGTCGACTTACATATACAACTCGGCTCATCGCTTTAGTTTCTTCCGGTATATATATATATATATATACACACTCGAGCTTGGATTAGCGAATATAAACAGTGTGTACACGATGTTACAAAGGGTTTGAAGTATTATAAAAGGAAGAAATAAGAGGAGAATCTAGGAAAATGAAGCGATTCACCAAAGAAAAGAATGAAATCTCGCCGTACAGAAGTTAAACGACCTTTCGGATATAAAGCTCTCGGATACCGTTTCGAGTATTTCGTCTGAAGGATTCGTTTTGTTCACCGGTTGCACCGGTTTTAATCACGTGTTTTAATACACACATACACACACATATACACACGTTTAATGAATGTTGAATTATTATTTACAATTATTTGAATTTTATTTCTAATTGCACGATTTTAA